ATTTCTGAAGAATTATGTGGCTTTTAAAAACTACAATTTTATGATTAAACCTTATAAAGGATTTACTTTCTTTCATAATCAACACTTTTTCTTCTAAGGTATCCATTGTGTGCCGGGCAATTGGATTCCTCCATTCATTATGGTCATTTTTCTTCTTGTTGCAAATATCCTCCTCATTAATATGCTAATTGCTATTTTCAAGTAAGTTTTAAGTCTGTCATTTTGTCACGAATTTACAGCAACATTTTCAACGACGCGATCACGAAATCTCAAGAGATTTATCTCTTTGAGCGATATCAACAGGTATTTTTAACTGCATATCATTGTAAAATTGACTCTGTTACATAAAGGCTAGTGTAGAGAAAAATCTCAAACTAACTTAACTATCTACAGTCTAATTAACCTGTACCACTTGAATAAATCAACAATCTTCACGTAATCTAAACAAATCAATCTTTCATGTTCTCGAATACACGGATACTCCTCTTCTTCCACCTCCATTCACAATTCTTCCACTCATCTATCGAGCTCTCGCTAAAATATGGCGATCCTGCAAGGTCTATTCGTTTCCTTTCAAATAGAACATCGAAATTTCAGCAAAATTCACGGCAAAACAAGGGTGTGAACAGTGTGATGAGTAAGTTGAGTAACCCAGATGAATAAGTTGATAACAGATTTTTCACCTATGAATAATTTGCGTTAATTGAATGCATAGCTTTACTTCCAAATAGAAGCTTGATTATCTAAAAGTTTTCCCGTGGAAGCCAAAAAGTAAAGTACGCAAGAGCCCTGCCTTATTTCTAGAAACATTTCTCGATGATGATGGAATGAGACGTGTACATGATTTTGAAGAAGATTGTATGGACGATATGATGAGAGAAAGAAGAAAACGAGAAAAAGAAACACATGAAGTCACCCTAAGACATAATGCTGAACAGTGAGTCAAACTGGTGTCAATATTCATGTTTCAATCTAAACATGAAGCACTCTTACCAAACTTTCAGAATCGAGTCGATCTCTCAAAAATGCACGAAATGTCGATTGAGGGCGTTCAGTTGAGATATCGTTTAATCGAAATGGAGAAACTCATCGAACAATCGATGCGTGTCAGAAACCAATCGATCACTCGGCAAGACGTATGTAATAGAAACGTTTTAAAAATTTTAATAGTAGTTTTTAATCACCAATTTCTAGCATAATCGCTATGAGATGATTCCGTCTGCCTCTTCGCATTCTTTGCCCGATACAAATATGTCTCACTCATCTGGAATTGCGTCAATCAAACGACCAAAAACGTTTAAAGCACCTTAAAAATTGTCAATAAATTCATTTAAGGCCGCCAAAGAAAATGCGAGTTCGATTCAATCACAGAAGGGATTCCACTCACTTTCGTCGTCCCTGAGAACTATCGACACAGTGTAACTATCAGAATACTTTTTTAATCAACTTCAAAAAAGCTTCCAGTTCCGCAGTCAATTGTGTAAAACCAATTTTAGAGTTTATATGGAAACCAGCGACAAAGAAGACGACTACGACTTCATTCTTCGTCTGTTTCCATTAATGCCGACATTTCCGAAATGGAAAAACATTGAATTTGTAGACCAATCCACCTACCAACTAACTTGAATTTCTATTAAAGTAAGCCTAGCTATGAATAAATGTTCTGTGCTTTTCGTGCCATACACAGTTCTTGGAAATGTTTATATTCAATGAACTTAAAGCACAATTTACAAAATGGCTATATCAAAATGTAAAAGAAGTATTAAAGCGACAATTTCAAACAAAAACAATAATTTAATTTTATAATCACAGTAGTTCATAACAAGATTAACTTGCACCAAAACGAGAAGGCAATATGATGTCACACTTTAAAGATGTCGACGATCGCTGAGCACACGTATGATTGAACCAAGTCCAAACCGGGCGACAAGCTAGCAATTAAATGTTCAGAAAGGGAAAAAATAATTGTTGACTAGGATGCCGAACCATTCTCTACTCAGTTAAATACTCCGCCCATGTTTTTACAAAAGCATATTTACAACATTCAAATGCAAACACACTTTTCACCTAACACAATATGGAACAAAAGCAAACCTGGGCATGCTAAGAAAGCGTTGACGCACAAACAGCATTTTCCCAATTGATTTCCATTATTTTGTAAACGTATTTCATCAAAAGATCGCCCTCGTTCCTCTGATAATACCTAGATCAAAACAGAATCTTGTTTAGGATTAATTATATTTAATTAATCGCCCCTTCATTTCGGGCAGTTTTGAACGCTTGCAGCACCTTAGCAACAAGTAACGTCGAGCGATCTTTTATTTGCTGTAAATAACAAAGTGACAGGATCAAAACCATTTTATTTAACCTGATTCTTCGTGGTCAACGGTGGATCAGGAGAGCGGCATGAAGAGCATCGGTGAGTCGTGGAGTTTGTAGATAACTTTGAACAGAACGCTTATCAGGTCCAAGAAACGTCGATTCAGCACTCAAACAAATCATATTTATGAATGTTATAAACAATTATAAAATTAAAACTGTATTTGACTATTACCACTAAACGTTAAATTATCATACCTTCATCCTCATCATATCACTCATCGTCGAGCGCCATCCACACCAGTTTCGGGTATGACGCAAGTTGTTCATATTCTTTTCGCCATTTTGATTTCTAAATTATGGCAAATATTTCAAATCTGCAAAAATAAGTAAGCTCCAAAATGTTTTGTCATAAAGAACAAATCGAGGAGCACAGAGATCCGAGAGCCAGATACAGAACGAGAAGAGAATAAGAGAAAGGAAAAGAAGAAACCTTTCACGCAAACAACAATCCAAAAATCTGACTCCACTCTCGCAAATATTTGATAGCCTCAGCAAACTTTTAGAAAGTAACCAGCTTTAAGACGTTTCATTCTTATTCAATGGTAATATGATTAGAGCGCAGAAATAAATGGACAACTAAAAAATTCAACAACAATAAGATATTCAACATGAAAGATATAAAATAAAATAAAAACCCCTCGAGATACGCCCCAATGTGTCTCGGGTAATCTATTTGTTGCTGGTACTTTTCGTTCGTAAAAGAGATCCGTTTTTGCGCTACTGAGATTGACGATTTTAGGACACCATCAATGATCCCGTTAAATTGAAAAAATCAAACAAGATTTAAAATAGCAGCAACATACAGCTCTCTTTTATTAAAACAAAAAAAAATGCCTAATCCTTTCTCCTGAATCGGGCATCGTTTGCAGTTAGCATCGCTCACTCGAGGGCCACTGCAACTTCATCATAGTCCCTAAATCGTACAATAGTTTGTTTTAGAAGGCTGTAAGTCTAAAAGAATAAGCTTGAAGTGTTTATTTTCAATCTAATGCACACAAACTCTTTTAAGTATTCAATTAATAAATGAAAATATTAATAATCATACCTGTGATAACTTCTGTAGTTGTACCTCATCACAGATGCGAACAAGTGTAGCCGGTCGTAAAAAGGAATCGCAGATCACACATCTAAAAGCAAATATAAGATTGGAAAATAATCACTGAATAACCTTCCATCACATTTATCACAAAGTCGACCAATAGCAACCCCAGGTTGTTTCGGTAAAAGATTAGATCGGAATGGTGCTTCAAGCCATCGACTGATCTGAATTGAAGCTAATTGAAAGAAACGGGGCGAGCTATGCGTTGGGTGGGCAGTAAGGGCCTCAATTTCGGTTGTAGTGGGATTTCAATTTTCGGAAATTCAGACAACGCTGATTAAATTGCAAATAGTTTCAAGGCTTTGTTCTAACCCACTTTTGCTTTCAAATTTAATGAACATTGGCGATACACGACAATGACCACGCCCACTGCCCACACCCAACGCGCATAGAAACTAAAGAAAACTTAGTGGCAACAAAAAAATTAAAGCGAAAAGGGTAATTTGTGAAGCAAGTCTTAATACTCCTATTACGAACGAATTACGATTTTACGAATACCAATTTAAAGATCACCTGCACTACTTAAATACAGTTCAAGTTCTACGAAAAAACTATGGAGGACATAAAAGATTGTCATGTGAAAATTTGAGAGAAAGGCCAAATGAGCGAGAAATAGGAACATTATTAACTAAATACTTAGGTAGATGCAATTAGATATTCAGGACCCCAACTGAGTATTTATTAGGGTCGTTATAAGCCAAGAAATTTTCCATTTGCTATAATATTTTCACTTAGGTACTCCAATGTAAATATGGTATTAGTACCTCACCCCATAATGACGGTGCGGAGGTTGCGTAGTCTAGCTGGGAACTATTTTTCCACACTGGTTTATACCACAATGGGGGAAGTATCAAAAAATAGTCCTGAATTTCAGCTATTTTTGATATTAAAGACGCATTTTTGAAAAGTACAGGAGCTTTGAAAAAAATGAAATACTAAAAACTTTCATGACTACGCGACTGTAGGAGGGGGTGGGGTACTATTACAAGTATTTACTGCAGGTATTATCGTTACAACATATCACTTTTTTACAATGAACACCGTGATAGAAATTTCCGTGAAGGATAAACGGAAAAACAAACTCTTAAACATAAAAATTCGTTAATTAGAAGTTTATTATGCATCAAAAGGAATTATTTCACCATAAACAAGAAGAATCGTATTGGATGAAGATCAATAATGAGAAACTCGTATAGCAAAAATAAACACTGGTAAATGAACTGAAGATCAAGAGAGTAACTTTACACAACACCGTGATAGAAATTTAAGATGAAATGACGTACATGGCAAACAATATATTAGGGTACCGTATTTATTCTAATAGAAGCGCAGCTTCACGAATAGAAGCAATTTTGTAGAATGATTGCAAAATGGTTTTCTCCCATGTGCTCCGATTAGAATAAATACGGTAGGTAGGAGGGGCCAATTTGAACGCGTGTTGAAACGAGTGGTTAAGTTTATTCATTCTCACTTAGCAGCTTCTAAATCGATTTTTCTACTAAGTCCATAGTACAAACCGGAATTTTGTTGCCTATCATCCTTAAATTATTCAATTTCTCCCCACCTTGATCATTTCTTTGAGGAAACCTTCGTTCCCTCGAGATCCGAATCGGGAAAATTTGTCACAAACAGTTTGCACCCATTTGTTTCATCGACACTCGCAAGGTTTATTTCATAAGATGTGTCTTCTTCACGGTGTTTCTAAAACGAACATGTAATTGTTATTTTCGCCTGTGAAAGATCAAAAGTTTTGAGTAAATCTCGAAACGGTCTTTTCGATATAAAAATCACTCGAGCAGCCGTATCCTCTTTCTCCCAAATTCTTTTCTATTATTAGGCTATTTCCGCTTTTAACGGTATCACTTAGGCGTGATATTCAATCACTGTTTACATCTTTTCTTTATTTTCTCCACTTTCGCTACTGTCATCTGTGTCACCGTCTCCTTTTTGTTGTTTTTTCCTCTTCCATTTCCTCATCAGAATCCTCAATTTTCCAATTTGACTTCTTGGCGGCAGGCTTCTTGGCTGACGTTTGCTTTGGTGCTGGTTGGGGGGCGGGTTTTCTGGAAAATGGTTTGGTGCTTTAAATCAGAAAGAATTATGATAGGGGTTTAGTTTTGATTGATTATTTATCCTACGGTAAGATTCCACACCACGTCCCAGCTACTGTACCTTCTGCCCATTCATTTAATTTCTTTGACAGGATAGGTAATCGCAATTCTAGCAACCTTCCCTTCTATTAGGTTGTCCAGGAAGTCTTTTCGTTCTTTTCGTACTTTCATCGAAAAATACCCCGGTACCACTTAACCTATGATTTGTTTTAAATAAAAAAGTTTATTGTTCATCTTTTCCATTTTTTGTCAATTTTGGGTTCAATTAAGCAAATTCATGAGGGTGGAAAACGTGTTTCGTAAAATCTATAAAAACTCTACAAAGAAATCGGATGAATCAATAATTCCTCTGGAAAATTTGGCCATATACCTAACTTTTTGTGCTCTATCTACACTGTTGACATCTATCTATGGACACCATGATAGGTTCTTCTTATTCAAAGAGTCTCCGTATCTTCGAGTCGTCGCCATTTTTGATCACCCGACTTCACGGTCTCCAAAAAATCGAAAAATAAGACGTTAAACCTGTTTTAATGTTATTTTGCAAAAAATAATTGGTCTTTCTGAGTGGAACAAACCGTAGTTCAATTGGTCATTTGGGTTTCTAAACGGAAGTAAGAAAAGGAATGAAAAAGACTTTCTGAACAGCCTAATATGTGGCAATATAATTGGAATTGTAAACAGCCACTTTGGCTGTGAATGGTACGTGAAGAGGGCTGTGTGCCCAAGAATAAAGAGGTGCCTGGGGCAGTGGAACCGTGTTGGTGGGCGGGTTTACCTCACCCGAGCCCAGAAACCCACGCAAACGGGGGAAACCGCACCCAACTCACATTTCGGCTGCACCCTAATCAAAAAGTTTATAGGTTCATAGTTGGCTTACCGGAGGCAAAAGATTAAATGTAAATTCATGATTACCGGCATCTGTAATAGTAGTGCCCCCATAATGACGTACAGTCGCGTAATCGTTAAAGTAAATAATTTTTAAGAACGCGCCCAGATTTTTCTAAAATAAACTATTAGTACCAAAATTCTTTCGCTTCAAGCGCTACTTTTGATGTTCAAGCGCACATTTTCGTCGAACCGAGCGTCACCAAATTGTGTGTTAGACTATTGGATCGAAGGTTAGACTGTTAGACTGCACGGGGCGATACCAATACAGGTATTAGAGCATGAATTTCTTTTACCTTCTCCTCTTTATCACTTGGTGGATCATCAGATATCTTCATCATCTTCCTCCTCTTCTTATCATCCTCATCATCTTCGAGGGGGGACTATCCGATTTTCCCTGATAATTTTCTCTTTTAAGTTTAAAATCAAGTTTTCAATTCAAAAAAGTCTCCAATTTTTTCTACCATTTTCACTTTCGTTTGTCTTTTCCTTTTTCTTTCCTTTGCTTTCTCTTCTCTGCTTCAATTTGCGTCGATTTCCCGGCATGGATTCAGCAAGAAATGCATAAGATTTGAGATTCTGTGCTGTATTCATTGGTTTGATCTTCATCTATCGTTGACTTGTGCTTATTGAAGTATCAGAGCTTTCGAGATTCGAAAGTCTGTCAAATAAACTAAACTATAATACTCTGAACAGTTGGACTTTTTCTATTAAAGAGTTAGATCATAACATTTGCAAACCTCATCTCTTGTTGGGGCAGCATGATGTAGACCAACTCCGGCGCGCAAAAACGTCCCTTCCGCCACTTTCAACTTTTGCAAATACGAGACTCTTTTGTTCCAATCATCTGATTTCTCCGTGAACCACCATCTAAATTTATTGGTATACATTATTGCTATTCATGACTAGTACAAGCTGTACCAATCCTGAATACAATACTCATTTTCATTAAGTACAGGACAAAAATTTCTAGGTCTCCTTTACGACCAACCCATTAAACTTGCGTAGTGCTTTCTTAAACACAATGCTGTGTGCGGCTTGTCCCTCACGCAAATAGAGCAATTTGTGCAATTTCTTCAAATCTTGAGTCGGCTTCTTAGTGATGTATTCATTTGCTAAAATAGGTTTCATTTCTAAAATCATTTCTAAGTTTTTCAACCTGAAGCAATATCCCCAAGTGCCATACCAGCTCCCTTTCCACCCATCGCTTCGGCTTTCGGCGACTCAACTTTTGGAGTCAACGTTGATGCAAATGTGTCACCTTCAAAAGAGGTTCTACTTGGGAAATTTACTTAAGTACATTAGCAATAAGATCGTTTCAAAATTTGATATGCTGATGCCATACTTCAGCCGTCAAAACTCTTGACGTATAACAGAATAACTTTTCAACATGTCATCTTAGATATTTTCGTGTTTAAACTAAACTAAACAACTAAATTGTCAACAAACCTTTGTCCTTTCTCTTTTTCCTTCAACAACAAGTGGTTGATCGTACGCTCCCGGTTTTACCGAATCCGTATTCTCATCAAAAGTTTCATTGCAGGGTGTCCGTTTTGGGGTTTCTTTTTGGCGATTCTTTCTTTGGTGACTTGCTCTCGGTCTTCTTTGTCGGTGTCTTCATTGGCTTTTCAATTTCTTCGGGAGAGGCGGCCGTGGGTGGGACACTTTCTTCGGGCTCATCCTAAAATGATTTTATTCTATTATTTTTGAAAGTTGCTTCTTTGGTAACCAACCACTTCTGGTTCGTGATCTGTCTTCTCGAATCCACTGCATCGATTTTTGTTTCCGCCGTGGGTTCCTCAGTCGATTCCTGAAACAAAATTAGAGCATTTAAAAGAATCAAGACAATTTTCAAATTATCAGGCTCATGCCTCATTGCCAGCTGTAATTTTATAAACTACTTATTACCTGTCGATCGAGCTCTTCTCCAAGATTTGTCTCTTCAATTGTAGCCATTCTGCTAAATTCCGATTACTAATCAGGGATTTAATTTTTTAAAAAGGTATTATAATAAAATTTGAAAGAAAGAAAACAACGAGAAAAACTCTTTTCAATTCAAATTTCGAGAAATGGCATAGATCCAAAAGAGTAATCATACGGTAGCCGACATCATAGATCCATCTAATAGCAAGTAAAGCAGATAGCCCATAGGCAATCCAGAAAAGAAATTGCGCAAGATTAGAATAAACACCAATTGCTAAAAATAGAGTAATCTAGCTAGGAAAAACTAAAAAATACTTTGCCATCGTTCCTTTTCAATAACGGCATGCATTAAAACATTTGAAGTTTTGAACTTGATCTCAATGAAATCAAACATTTTATTAACGTTCCAGAAATCAAATGATTATGCCGATGAAATAGATATCAAAGTTCTTTCACGAAACAGCCAATAAAGTGAAAATATTTATGTAGAGAAAAATTATTAGCAGTTGTAACGGCAAAAACCTTTTGAAAGAACCTGTCTCTGAAAATACTACAA